ACAGATAACGATACATTAAAGTCAAACAATGCATACGTCATTAAACGCATTAGCGACGGAACGGATAGGTTCATTCAACCCATATTGCCGATTACGAGTTGCGAGATGTACAAAATTACGCTGTCTAATCACTCTCTCAGGTGCGTAAAAGAAAAGCTGCCGAAGTAACTCGGGGGAATCAATCTCGCTGGCAGGGCCCAACAAAGTCACTTTCAGTCGATAATCGTCAAGCGACGACGAAGCTGTCAATCATCACTTTCAATTGAAAGTCATTCTGTCTTCTCTACGAGCAGATGCTCTTCAACATCAACAGAACCACTTTCGATCAGTTTTCATGCTGTTTGTATAGCCTTGACTAGTGTTCATTTCGTCTTTCATTGTCAAATGAACTTACTTGCGCAATCGATCCAAATTCACGCAGTTTTTCTGACTTTTGTTGATTGTTCACTCGGTTAATTTAAATGCATGCTCATGTAGATCTGTGCACGTGGATGTAAAAATAAGCATTGTCGGGTGGTTTGTTTACCCATCAATATGGGTATTATTGGAATCGGAGTGACGTCTAGAGACCGGAAATTGATATGCGACACAATTTTAAAATCCAAGATGACGGCTTCCATTTAAAAAAAAAGATGATGACGTCTAGAGGCTGAAAATCGATATCCGACGCCAATTTGAAATCCAAGATGACGGCTTCCATTTAAAAAAAAAGATGATGACGTCTAGAGGCTGAAAATCGATATCCGACGCCAATTTGAAATCCAAGATGACGGCTTCCGATAACAGAAAAAGTGGGAAATACTGTCAAATACCCACCAATATGGATATTTTTGGAATCGGGATGACATCTATAGGCATGAAATCAACGATCATCGCCATATTGAAATCTAAGATGGCAGCTTCCTTTTTCAGAAAAAGTGGGAAATACTGTCAAATAGCCATCAATAGGGTAATGTTTTAATCGGGATAACGTCTAGAGGTTGAAAATTGTTATCCGACGACATTTTGAAATCCAATATGGCGGTTTCCGATATCAGAAAAAGGGGAAAATACTGATGCCGACCCTCAATATGGGTATTTTTGAAATCGGGTGACGTCTAGAGATTGGAAACAGATATGCGACGTCATTTGAATCCTAGATTTTGGCTTCCGTTTCAAACAAATGTGGGAAATACTGTCAAATACACATTAATAATGGTAGTTAAGTAATTGGCATGTCATCTAGAGGCCGGAAATGAATGTCTAACGCCATTTTGAAATCCATGATGGCGGCTTCCGATTTAAGAAAAAATAGGAAATACTAACAAATACCCACAAATATGGGTATTTTTAGAATCGGGATGTCGTTTAAAGAATGAAAGTCGGTGTCCGACGCTATTTTTAAATTCTTGAAATTTTGAAAAAATGGAAAATTCTATCAAATATCCATACATTCAGTTTTCAATCAGGGTAATGTCTAGAAGCTGGAAATCAATATCCGATGCCATTGTGAAATCCAACATGGCGGCTTCCGATTTGAGAAAAAGTGTCAAATACCCTAAAATAAGAGAATTTCCGGAACTAAAATATGGGAAATTTTCAGAACGTAGATGCCGAAGATCGATGTCAGACGCCATATTTAAAACCAAGATGGCGACTTCTGGTTTCAGAAAAAGTGGGAAATACTGTCAAATACCCTTCAATGCGGGTTTTTTTTCAAAACTCCAGCAATGTCTAGAGTCCAGAAACCAATGTTTGACGCCATGTTAAAAGCTAAGATGGCGACTTTTGTTCAGAAATAGTGTGAAATACTGTCAAATATCGATCAATGTGGGTACTTTAGCAATCGGAGTGACATCAAGATGGCGGCTTCCGATTTTAGGAGAAGTGTCTAATACCCTCCAAATGGCGTCGAATAACGATTTTCATATCTTAGGATATTTTACATTTTTTTCTGAGCCCGATGGCCGGCATATTGGATTCCACAATGGCGTCAGACATCGATTTTCGGCACCTTCGCGTCGTCCCCGTTCCGAATATACCCATATTGTAGGGTATTTGAGACTTTTCCTTATCCCGGTGGCCGCCATCTTGAATTCGTTAATTTAATTTTCGTTAAATATAAAATAACATTTTATTACTACATAGTCCAGATGACATCCCTATCGGCAACCGATATTGTGTGGATACTTTTTTTTTTCTTTGGTTTGTTTTTTTCCGTCGATCTTGTTTTCCGTGCTGAGCACCAATGCTTCCGACGTGCCAGGAAGGCAGCTCCCACACCTGGACCCTACCTATCGACCCATCAACTCATGAACCGGGGACATTCCCATCCGAAGGAAGGCGTGATCAGAGATGTTATGCCTCAGAACATCCCGGTGGCGCCGACTGGGATTGAACCCAGGCCTGCTGGGGTGAGAGGTAATCACGCTTACCACTACACCACCGGTGCCGTTATTGTGTGGATACTATCTGAATACTATATATGGATGCTTGACGACGCGACGCGTCACAAGTCGAATGATCCCCAAATTGAAGAGAAAGTGGAAAAAACGAAGGAAGCAGATTTCGAGTCATTCATTGCGTCAATTGAAACAAGTCTTTGCTTCAAATGAAATGAACTGATGCACTTGACGAACGAAACAAGCGATAGTCAAGTCATGTTTGATAGGAGGAATGTTCATCGTTACTCGGTAACAAGGAACACGATGACTTACACGAAAAAAATATTGCTCGAAATGAAGCGATTCTGCGGAGAGTTAATTTTCTTTTCTTTGTTTCGAAAATGCAGAACTCTACTCGCTGGTAATGATTTTAGCAGCAAACAAAGCTTGCGCGCTCCGTCTTCTTTGTTCCCAGGTGTCAATTCCAAGCAGATGACAGAGATCCACGTAAGACGGTGAGTTGGCCGTGTCACGCCAGGGCAGATGACGAAGCGCGTAACGAACAAACTTTCTCTGTACACTCTCAAATCTGGCTATCCAGCATGCTTGATACGGGAACCAGACAACAGCACTATACTCTAAGATTGAACGTACTAACGAACAATACAGCGCCCGCAGGCAAAGCGGATCGCGAAAGTCTTCAGATATATTGAACATAAAGCCAAGCTGCCTGTCAGCTTTAGTTAGGATGTCATTGTAGTAGTGGGGTTTGAAGGTTAATTCACAGTCTAGTGTTATTCCCAACTCTCTGATCTGCCTAATCCTCTCTAATGTTTGCCCGGAAATGGAATAATCAAATATTGGAAGATTGCCGTAAAAGCTCAACGCAGATGTCGCCACTGCATGATGATGATAATGGTGCTATAAAAGTTATCGTAGGTCTTATAAAGCATATAGTTAAACCGAACGTAAACAATCATTTAAGAGTGCTCCAACAGATTTTAAAACTTTTAATCAAATGGCAATACAACTACATTCTTGTTCAACTCTGGAAGCTATTATTCAACGTTTGATCAACTCAGGTGTTTTATAAGAGCTCTCAATTGTTTGTTGGGATATTCACCATTTTCCGAAAAATGCAGCTGCGCAGGAGGTAACCTCTCGCTGTGGGTGCAAACTTGTTATGCATTATTTTCCATGAAAACTCCGATCCATACCGAAATAATAACAATTAGTTTTCAAACACGTTTTCTTACACGATTCAAGCAAAAATTTCCACCGTAAATTATTAGTTTTTCCTTTTTTGCCCCAAAAATCGTCTGTTTTACTTTGAAAATTTGGAAACTATCCTCCTTCTAGTAGTTCCCACTTCGGAATGTAGGAGGCGGAAGCTTGGAAAAGTTTCACTGCAAGACGCCAATTATCGGGTTTTGTTTGCGGTGAAATGATATCACATTGCACTTGTTGATGCTGAGCGTTTAGAATTACGGGAGCAGCAACCAACGATCCACAATCAGCTGCAACTCCCCACAATCAGCGATGCAATTGATAACCACATACATTTTGACATCGTCAGCGTAGAATAGCCGGCATCCAGGGGGCAGTAGACACGAAATCTTGTTGACGAAAAGCGAAAACAGCAGGGGTCCCAGATTACTTCCTTGGGGAACGCCGGAAACGCTCGTGAACAATTCAGAACGAGAAGCTCCAATCTTAACACAAAGCGAACGGTTCGTAAGGTAAGGTTTGAACCACGAGATGAAGGATCCAGATACTCCGTGTTTCTCAAGCTGCGAAAATTTGCGAACATTTTCCCACTGGTCTACTGGGTGTTGTGTGTTGTCCGTTATTATGTGTTCAGTCTGTACAACCTCTGGTTGAAGACGGTGTCAATTTAAGGCCAACAATTGAAAAGGCCTCTCCATTTTGTTAACAAACCTTGTAAGGCCATTTTATCGCGAACCGAAGTTGATTGGGATCTCGTGATATAAACATCTCTAACATTAAATTCAAGGCCTTAACTCCATTTTCTACACAAATCTTGTACGGCCATTTTTTCGCCAACCGAAACCAAAGTTCGCAAGCCTAAAACACAATCGGGTAGAGGAGAATTTCCCCTACCTGTTCATTTTGTTGGTTTTTACAATGAGACATCAACTCCATAAAATAAACTTTGGTAAGTGATAACTGAAAGTACATTAAACTTATTTTACAAAACATTTGAATTTTTAAAATCTGTTGAACCGTTGAGCACAAATTTTTTTAAAGGAAGGGTTTATAACGTTCGATTATTGGTCCATTTTTCTCACTCCGGTGGGAAGAAAGTCATCCAAGAGCACTTTGCTGGATGTCGAGTGTTTGGTTCGATTATACGTCATACTATCATAATAAATGTGTTGAAAATCAATGTTCAATCTAGTGACCTACAATAAACAAACATGCAACAGATTGCTGGTTTTCAAAACAATTTAAGCAACAAGTGTTCCATAAGATAAGGTATCCATCATAGCGCATGATCCAGGCATTTCGTTGGTAACTGCTCGAACGCTTTGGTAAATCACTAATAAACAACGGCTATATTGATTTAAAAACTGATACTAAAAGTTTTTCGTTGTGTCCCGCAAATTTCACATAAAAATGTCTAGGAATCTTAAAGTAAGACCATCAAAATTTGAATCAAGTGATCCTGCCATCAAAGAGGAAATGAGGAAATTCATCGAAGAATTCGAAAATCGCCTTAAAACGGTAAGCGCAAATATATATTCGGTTCATTGCAAGTTATAACATTTTTGTAAATATTCTTCAAGAAATTGAACCACCACCCAGTTGATTCAGACCTTACCCATGTCGTACCGCGTCGAATGTACAACCAGGCGTCGAAGATTGTACGTCTTCATCCGTACGACGACAAGGAATTCGAAGAGATCGTCAAATGTCGCTTGAATGAAGCCTTCCGCTACTACAGCATTGAGACGAAGGACACCGACAGCCTTAGTCCGGAAACTGGTGATGATGTCGAAGACGACGATCGTCTTTCGAAATTCGAGCTGAAAATAGACCCCAAAACCAAGCCACGTGAATTGAAACTCAAAGAGGTCAACTGGATGGAGAATTTCCTGAAGAAAACTCGCAAGGAGCGCATCCAATGGCAGACCAAGCTCTACAAGTCAGATAAGAAGCTGTTGGAAAAGCCACTGTTCGAACAGGTCGAGGAGCTGATTGACCTCGGAGCGCAGGATTTCGCCGAATGGCTGAACACGCTGGGAGCGGAAAAGTCCAACATCACAAAGGACATCATCAAGCAGTTGTTTTCGATTGGGGTGGAAGGCGATTCGGCGAAAGCGCTGTACGTCGAGCCGAAGGAAATTCGAGCAATTCCGGTGGAGGTGGCACGGGACTGGAACTTGCACTATGTGAGTAGAGTGTAGCTTTTATCCGAACGCTTTCGGCAGTGGTGCCGATTTTGGTTTTCGGAAATGTGTGTGATTATTGGGATTTTCCAGACAAGCAAAGTCAATTGGCGAATCAAAGCAAAGCCAAAACTGGTCATGCGATAGCTAGTTTTATGATCCGCAATTACTAAAATGATGATGTACTAAAAAAATGTCATGTAATTTGACAGATATCAAAACGTCATTACCATTTTCACCCACTCGTCATCTGTGAGTCAATCGTCACTTTGATTCTTCAATGAGTTTAGGCGGATTTTGGTTTGTTTCTTTGGAAACTAAATTTTCGCAAAACTTGATCTTAAATATGATGAAATAAGAGAATATGTAGAGTATGTCATAATATTATCTACTGACACTACACACCAAATTTTAGTTTTCATTATCAGTAAAACGGTTTGCTGGAACATGATCAGCATCACAAAACTTTAACTGAAAAACAGTAAACAATATTTTTACCGATAAATTCAGCTAACGCAAGCGGAATCGATTCTGTGGACTATTTACCCTGACAAATCATGTAATTCATAAATCCGGAGTGATTTGAGATTTGGGCGTAATTTATTTTGTAAACAAAGACGTCAATTGCAGATTTCTCTTAAATTTCAATTCAATCTCATAAACAAACCATATAAAATGATAGAAATATCATTCCTCTACCTCATAGCGTTATTCGTTTTTGATCACTCCGGAAATATTATAATTAGGATTTCAACAGCAGATAGTGTTTATCCTTTTTGTTTCTATAATCCCCACTGTGAATTGGATGACATCTTAGATAATTAAAACGTTTAATTATCTAAGATGACATACAAAGCTCTCAATTAATAACTCAGGAATGATTCAAAGAGCGCGAAGTTGAGAGCATCTAAAGCTAAGAACAAGAAGGTATGGGGTGTTCCATTTGCAGATTTTAATCATTACAAATTGATTACACATACATAGATATAGGCTTGAAAATTTTCACTCTTACGGCGGATGCGGATATCAAAATTTTGAACGATGAGGTTTGAGAGAGAAGTTTTCTTATTTTCGAATTCCGTGTAATATTATAAAATTTGTGTCATCCATGAATTTTAACGATGGCTGCGAAGGGCCCAGTTTTTTAGGCTCAAACCAAAAATAGGAACTTGTTATGAAAGTTTATAAATTTTACCTTTTATTATTGAAGAATCAAAGTGCGATTGACTCACAGATGGCGAGTGGGTGAAAATGGTAATGACGTTTTGATATCTGTCAAATTGCATGAATTTTTTTTAAGTACATCATCATGTTTGTAATTGCGGATCTAAAAACTAGCTATCGCATTACCAGTTTTCGCTTTGCTTTGATTCGCCAATTATCAATTACTCATCCAATGATAACCGTCACCGGCACTAACAATACCGGCAACCATGCCTATCGTTATCCAAAAAAAAAAAGCTCACCCTATCTTCGCTTTCATATCTCACAGATGGCACTGCAGCGCAAAATCGCCCAGGTGATGAAAAGCGACCGTCGTCAGGCGAAAGTCCGCGAGCGGCATGTAGCTTTTGGCCGTACGCTGCCGTTGCACATGCGCAAATTCAAACGCTTCGAAGACATCGATGAAATTGTACCCAACTTCCCGGAGGAAATCAAAACGTTCCAGAAGGTGTTCAAGGGGATTTGTCACTTGCGGTCGGTAAAAATTCTGGTGGACCACCTCAAGGAGCATCCGGAGATACACAGACCCAAGTACCTGGTGAATCAGGGAATGTTCAAGACGAAGGTGGTGAAACCGACCGACCACGTTCCACTGTATAAGCATTACTTCAAAAATAACCCGGGATCAGGAAAGGATTTGCAGTAATCTTGAATTCGGAACAGTTTATTAGAAAATAATTAAATAGCGTCTGGAGATTAAATAACATTGGAATGGAAATTCCTCGTAGATAATTCCCAACCGATACGGATAAAACCATGACTAGGATAAATCGTATGTGCAACTGACGCATGCAAACCATTTTTTTGTATTGTTGTTTTTCTGCAGTCTACGCTCGTCTGTCTGGTTAATTCAAAATAGAAGCTATTATCAGTCGGGGTGCAACGGTGGGTGACGTAAGGTGACAAATTTCAGTTGGTTCAGTATGCCGTATAAGGTTCAGCATGTTCAAGGGAGTTCCTCACTTTGTAGGTTCGCGGTTTGGCTCGTCATTGTTAACATTTATTTGCTATCGTTCACTGAACTTTTAAACCATTTTTACAATTGTTTATTTGATCTTTCAAATTATGGTCAATTGAGCATTTCCAGGTTATATCGCAGGACATAATCGCAGCTCATATTTGCATGCAATTTTGTGTAATTGTTTACTATGAATAATTTTTAAAATGTGTGCTGCAATTAGGCTATTTAGAGTCTAGCCACATTTTTCAAAAGGTCTTGATCGATATATTTCAATAAATCGCATGTCTTCATGAAATGACGGTGAAAACAAAGTGTTGTAAAGTGATAGAAACCGTACCATAAAAAAGTTAAGGGTTGTGTCCGAAACATGACCGCTTTATAGACGTAGGACTACCAGGTAGTTTGTGTTGTTCCATTCAATAATATAATAATAACAAAATGAATGATTTATAAATTTAATATCAAAATTAACAAAATTTCAATTCATTACTCAAAGACATGAAATTAGGTGGTTATTGAGGCCCTTTTGATACCCGTCACTTCACGGTGAAAACGAAGTGAAGTGACCACTTGTCACTAACGGTGCAGTGATAGCCGTGTAAATCAAACGGGAATCACTTCATTGTGAGTGATAAGTTGTCATTTCACCGTGAAGTGACAACGGTAATAAGAGCCTGAATTATTTTTAAAATTAAGATTTTGGAATTCGAAAATCGGTTCCTATATTATTCATAATTAGGTCCAAAACATGTTGAGTCAACTTTCGGATGTTCAAGGGTTAATCAACTCAGCACTGATCGCCACGTCAAAATATAACATAAAACGGCATCCTTATTGTGGACATTTTACCAATCGTTATTAGGGTTTACGTCTTTTCTATTTTAAAGCAAGGTACAAGGTCGTTCTTTCAGAGTTGCAGTTGCCAACACGAGGTCCCAGCTTTTCCCAGTTACCCTCTTCCTTGTAGCCATGAACGGAGTTTTCGGAGGACTGCCGAAAAATGTTTACATTTTCGTGTATGCTGACGATGTACTTATCGTTGCTACCGGCCCAACAGCAGCACGTAACAGGATCAAGGCCCAGGCAGCAAACTCTGCTGTAGCCAGGTGGGCCAGCGCGGTAGGCTTCTAGCTTTTGGCCACCAAATGCGTCAGCTGCCACGTGTGTCCATTCCGGCACCGTGTCAGCGGGCCACCTATTAAAGTCATATCAAGGGTCATGTCCAATCACAACTCGTTAGACTCGCATTTCTTCCTTATCGGGCTCGCAGGCAGCAATTTGTGCGCTTGTGGTAGTGGCTATCACGATATCGACCACGTGCTTTGGTTATGCACCCTACATTGTGTTGCTAGATCCGAGTTATCCGCATCCCTCAGGGCCCGAGGAAAACAACCTATGCAGCCCCTTAGAGACATCTTGGCGAGCCGAGATCTCGTATATTTTAATTTAATTTATGTGTTTTTAAAACGGATCGATCTAAGGATTTACTAGTTAGTGTCATCTTGCGTTCTCTCAAGTTGCTAGGTCTCCATCGGTGTACCCCCATGTTTGTCTTTTTCTCCAGTATGTCGCTTAGTTCTAGATAAAGAGCACATTGCTCTAAAAAACCTTGTGTTTTCAATCCCTACCCTGCCACCCGTTTGTTACAATTTGTTACCCCTAACCTCGAGATAGCCGCGAGTAATCGGCCCCCGCTTTACTAACGTTAGTTTTAAGTAAATTTGTAACCCAAACGATGAATATCGGCTCCGCAAAGCTACGGCAAATGAGCCTGGAAAAATAAACGCATAAAAAAAAACCCTACGAGATAGGAGTTGTGCAGATAGGGTTTTTGGAGAATCTAGCTAGCACAAGGAATCAGGTGGCTCCACTGATCGATCATTGCTACAGCGAAGATTACCACCTACTGTGCGCACGAAGTGAGAAAAAAAACCCCGAAGGCGCGTAAATCACGTGATACGATCGTCTTCGATGGGCTGATGATCGTATGATGGGTCCCCGATCCTTAATAGAGTCCTCTTGTACCCTGGGAAGCGAAACAGATTGGTGCATCTAGAGAAGTTAATTAAAAGTTCAGCAAGTGAGATTCAAACCCGTTATTTTACCGGAGCTAGAGAAGCTTTGGACAGCCAGTGTTAATTACTCTTGCCGGTTAAGTCTCTAAGTAGAAACGTTAAAGGATCTTAGCTCCAAGTGTAACCTAGCTCGCCAAGAACAATACACGGTAGTGTGCGCTTTAGTGACCACGTGGTGGTAAACTGGACCTCCTTATCACTAACGTTGAGGCCAGTTAGAATTCCGAGAGGTCCTCTTCCGGTTTGTGAAGTTTAAGTCGACACCCTGAAGAACTGTCCGTGAAGTAAAATCCGGTTAGACAAGGGGTCGCGGTGCGATTTAGGTTGAATTCCTCTCGACAACGGTCTCTATCTCGAGTTGAGTGAAATTCAGGGCTTTTATGTCTTCAGTAAAGTTGTTTGTAATCATTTTTGCTACAACTTTGCTGAAGACGTCAATCATTTATCTCGAAATTGTGAAAAAATAAATTTTTCATTTCACTTTTAGGGGAATTAATCACAAAACCCATATGAAGCATGTCATACTCATCAACTTTGCTGAAGACGTCCTTACTCTAAATCCGCTCTGCATGGTGAGCGTCAAAATGGACTTTTCAACCACTGTGCAGCGGTGGCGTCGGCATCAGCGAGGCAAGCATCAGCAGACATCAGGCAGTTAGTCTAAACCTTAGAACATTTTCTTTTTCATATAATACAAAAGTGCTCCAAAGTTTGGTTCTGGATATTATTGAATTTCCCCTGAATATATTTTTTGGCTTGGTGTTCTTAACTTAACGTAACGCTAGTTGTTGCCGATGCACACTCCTTTTTAGCGTAGATTTCAAATATTGATTATTTTAAGAAGATTTTAAGTAGGAATATCTATGTTTAACTTACGTTTAGTGTTTAAGCAAATTTTAATAGTTTTAAGCAAGAAAATATAATAGTTTTATCGAATACAATGCAATTGAGATCCACGTTTCACAAAATATCTTCACCTTTTGATTTCATGTAATCTTCGACGAATGACAGTTGCGCTGACGGCTGTAGCGATGACAAGCAGCGGTAGGGCTACCAGATTCCTCGATCGTCCGTCCGTTACGAGTTCAAGGGGACTGCGGATGGCTCGTAGCAGTACCAACATTCCCCGGCCCGTAATGTTGAGTTTGGTCCTGTCCACTAGCCTCGACCTTACCATCTTCAGCTACCTCGATGACGGCGAGCTTCACTGTCGGACGTCGGATGACTCCCGCTTCCGTACCGAATAACCTCGACGATCTGACCTCGAATCCAGGTATTTCTCTTGTTCTCGTTGGCAACGAAAACCAAGTCACCCACTTCAATTGGTTTAGTGTCTCGGAACCATTTGGTTCGCCTGGCAATCGTTGGAAGGTATTCGCGCAACCATCTTTTCCAAAATCCATCCAGAATGTGTTGTGCCAGGTTCCAGCTGCTGCGTAGACAATCGGTGGCCTTCGTAGGTTCCTTAGGCAGTTGCTTAACTCCATTTGAGCTACCCAAAAGAAAATGATTGGGTGTCAGCGCTTCTTGGCCGGCGTTGTCCAGCGAGATGTATGTCAAAGGTCTTTTTTTTTTTTTTTTTTTTTTTTTTTTTTTTATACAGGGGGGAATTTGCTCACAGACACCTGAGAAGGAACTCAGGGTGTGGGGATGGGAGAATTTCACTCCCGACCCACTAAACCTTACCCTGTGCGCTTGGCCCTTGGCCTCCCCGGAACCGCCCGAAGGCATTACTTCGTGGGAGGGGCCGCTGTAGCGCTATGGCGCCTCTCTAGCAATACTCTAACGATCTGGTCGGGCAGTAGGTAACTGCTGCTCGGCTCGCCACTGTCGTTGTAATACCGAAACTATGTGGGTGACCGCAGTCACCACCGCGCTCCAGTTCTCGGTGGTACCACACATCCTATGAACGATGTTGTCCGGACTGGTATCCGCTCCGCATATCGCTAGCATAGCGCTCGATACTGGCTCGAAACGTGTCAAAGGTCTTGAGTTGATCATACTCTCGGCCTCTAGGATGATTGTCTCGAAGGTTTCATCGTCGGGTACTCTTGGTGCGGAGGCCATTGTTTCTATAGCGACCTTGACCGATCGCACAAGTCGTTCCCACACCCCACCCATGTGGGGTGCGGCTGGAGGATTAAAATACCATTTGGTCGTGGTATTGGTGAAGGTTTCGGCGCACTGCTGGATTTGGTCTTGTAGCTCATTCGCGGCACCGCGGAAGTTGGTGCCGTTATCAGAGTATATCTCGGATGGGGCACCTCTTCTAGCAATGAATCTAAGGATGCACATCTTGCAGGACATCGAAGACAAGCTATGTGCCACCTCCAAATGTATCGCTCGAGTTGTCAGGCACGTGAACAAGGCAACCCATCTCTTAGCGTGTTTGCGACCAACTTTGACTGTCACTGGCCCGAAGTAGTCCAGCCCGGTGTAGGTGAACGGACGAAGAAATGCTTCCAGCCTGACCCGCGGTAGTGGGCCCATCTTCGGCGAACCCAGCGATGCGTTGTAAACCTTGCACATCTGACATCTAGCGGCGACTTTGCGGACCAGATTCCACGAGACCTGGAATGTAGACCAGTTGACGAAGCTCATTGACTACCGTCTCCTGGTTACGGTGGTGACATCGACGGTGGTAGAAATCTACGAAGAGAAAGGTTACTGGATGGTTCGGAGCTAGTATAACGGGATACTTAGCTTCGATCGGCAGGTTGGGGTCGGCGCCGATACGACCATCCATTCGCACCAATCCCTCTTCATCGATGAAAGCTGACAATTTATACAACGGGCTCGATACCGGCACCGCCCCCGAAGGCTTTGTAGAATGTCAACTCTGCAACACAGCTAACTCCTCAGGAAACGTCTCCAGCTGAACCATCTTCCACAGCTTCACTTCCGCTTTGCACAGAAGTTCTAAATTTATCGGTGTTTCCAACGACGTATCTTCGCTCATCACTCCTCCGAATTTGAGAACGTACGCTACCGTTCGCTGCAGCTTTTCCCATCTCGAAAAACGTTTCACATCGATCACAGGCTCTATTTTCACCCGTCGGTTAACGAGTACCGGGCGAAGTTCTTCTGCTGCATCTGTTCCTTTCAAATTTTGTTCTGGCCAAAACTCCTCTGGACCCCATAGGAACTGTGGTCCTCGATACCATGGATCTTCAGGATCAAAGCACGGCCCGTTGCCCCACTTCGTTGCCTTATCCGCTACATTCTACATCGTTGGTACTTTCTTCCATTCGCTTGGGTTGGTCGATGTCAAAATCTCTCCAATTCTGCAAGCAACGTACGGTCGATACCTGCGGAAATCGGAGTTGATCCAATGAAGGACCGTCGATGAATCGGTCCAGTAGAACCGTTGATGAATAGGAAGCTGATGATTCTCCAAAATCAACTGTGCTAGTCGGGTTCCCAGGATGGCAGCTTGCAATTCGAGCTTTGGGATTGATAGTGTTTTGATTGGAGCGACCTTGGTTTTCGCTCCTATCAGCGCAAAATGCGGCTGACCAGCATAGATAAAGCAAATATACACTACGCAGACGTATGCAGTGCTGCTTCCGTCGACGAACGTGTGAAGTTGCAGTGGCTGGCAGTCTTCTGGAACAGCGTCTCCAAAATACGACCTTGGAATACGGACATCGTTCAGCTTTGGCAACAAGTTTATCCAACGCTTCCAATCTCCAAAAATCCCGTCATCTATCAAGTCATCCCAGTCACATTGGCTCACCACAAGTCTTGAATGATGATTTTCCCTTGAATCACGTACGTGGCGAGAAATCCAAGTGGGTCGTATAGACTCATAACCGTCTTCAAGATCTGGCGCTTCGTAGGACGAACTGAACTGTCTAACAAACCCTCCTCTGTACCAGGCATGTAAGCGGAGAAGGTCAGTTCATCTGATTGTGGTAACCAGCGGATACCCAGGACAGATTCTGCAACGTTAGACTCCTCTGAATTCCACATCTTCTCCTTCGCAGCATTTCTTTCTCCAAGTCCTTCCAGTACCTCTCGGCAATTTGACATGAAGTTTCGAATTTCAAACCCCCCTTGGCTATGGACGTATCTGACTTCCTCGGCCAAACGAATGACCTCCTCCAGTGGCTATTGATGATAGCGTCAGCAGCGTTCGGGAACTCTAGTGCATGCTCTTTCGCATTTAGATTTTTAATGTATTGTGCTGAGCATGGGGAACAGGCTGCTCCAAAAATCTCCACATTCATCACGTAAATGACGGGCTCTTCGGATGAGTCTTTTCTATGCAGGAAAATCTGCGACTTCTGGTCTCTCAACGCGATCTTGAACTGGTGATACATTTCTCGTATATCCCCCGTGACCGCGACGCGTCTCTGCCGGAATCGATACTGCACACTCGTTAGTGGCGTCAGCAAATCGGGACCCTTCAGCATCATTGAGTTAAACGATGTACCTTTGACTTGAGCGGCAGCATCCCATATCAACCGCAGTTTCTGTGGTTTCTTAGGATTAATTACCACTCTCAGCGGCAAGAACCATATTCGGTCTTGATCCTCGGAACACAGATCATCCTCCGTTGCAATACGCGCGTAGCCCTTTTCCAAATAGGCGTCCACCTGGAACCTTTTGAGTCTTTCGCTCCAAACTCTTCAGTCTGCTTACAGCCATAGGATAGCTGCTGGGGAAGTGGACCTCATCACATCTCCAAAGCAGGCCAGTTTCGAATCCACCTGGTACACGTCGAGTTGTTGATTCGAGAATTTGTCTGGCCCTTTTGTCTTCTGCCGATTCAAGCTCAGTAGTCAATGGAGTGACACCGAGACTGTCCGTCAGGAAGGACTGCTTTACCAAGTCATGCAACTGACGATCTTCAGTCATACGGCTGACGTGGAAAACTCCTCGGAAATCGTCTGGTTTGGTAGATGCTCCTCCGTAGACGCACCACCCTAATCTTGTCTTAGTGGCGATTGGTTGACCCCGTGCTCCTTCACGAATCTTCAGCGGAGTGGACAAGTAGAGGTTTTCCAGGCCGATCAGTAGCTGCGGACGAGCTTCATCGTATCCATCAATATTCAAACCTTTGAGGTACGGAAAGTTATTGATTAGGGTTGATCGACTGAACAGGAAGTTCTAACTCTTCTACAGTACGTGCGTTGACCACGTTGAAACGTCGTTTCTTTTGCTTTCCGGAAATCTCCAGCTTCACCACGCAAGACTGTTCCTCTACTCGGGACACATTTCCGGTCCAGCGAAGGTGCAATGGATCTGGTGAACCCTTGAGACCCAGTTCGTCAGCCAAACTCTTCTCGATTATCGTTACCTCGGAAGCCTCGTCGAGTAACGCAAATGTGTTAATGAAACCAGAAGCACCATGCACCGTAATAGGGAGAATGCGATACATTACGGTCTGACTGACGGAGTGGAAATTCTGTGAGCTAGCTGCTAATTTCGACTGTGAAGGGAAAGAGTGGAGCAAGGGATGGTGACGTAGTCGACACCCGTCGATCGTACAATCCTTGGGTCGCCGACAGGGATAAAGAAGGTGATTCCTCATACAGGATCTGCACAAATTGTGCTGCCGCACCATCTTCCAACGTTCATCAGAATTCAATGCTTTGAACTTACCGCAACTATCCACTCCATTGCCTACTTTGCTGCAGATCGGACATACCTTTTCCGATGGTGTTTGCTTCAACTGGTCATCACCTGACGCCCGAGTATCGCTGTGGTGATTGACGAATCCTCGAGCCTTCGCATTCCCGCTTTTCTTCGTTTCATCTTTCGGTGCCTTTGCCAAAGTCGCTGGTCGATACGTTGTTACCTCGCTTACTTTCCGTACTATATCCGCCATAAACTGCCCGAAGGTGTCCAGACTAACTACCGGTACAGGATCCTTGAAGTCCACCCACTTGAGCTTGATCTCCGACGGAAGCTTCTCGACAAGCTCATGCAGCAACGATGGATTGCCCAAATGTGCTTCAAGATTTGCTGCAACTAGGTGATCGCAATAGTTCTGCACCGCCATCCCATAAGCGATAAGTGTGTCTAACCTTCCTTCCTTCGGGGATTGCGTATTTCGGATCTTGGCCAATAGCGAGTTGATCAGCACCTCTGGCCTGCCAAAGAGCATTCGCAGTTCGTCAGGCCGAATGCTCCGCGATTGGGTTGCGTAGGTGCCCGTAATTGGTCTGGGCGTGTTCCTTCCCTAGGGGCATTCGAACCTGGATTTGGATGATTTTCTTCGGGAATCCTTGGTAGACCCGGTGACCTGTTGCGTGGAATATCAGGCTGTCTCTGGTCACGATGGTCAGAGGGCCCCGGCCCATCATCCCGGATATGCGGACGCTGTCCTCGGTCCTTGGAGGTTCTGTCAGGAACAGGAACATCTTCATTCACTTTGTTGCTCGCTTTTGGTTTCGTCCCGGTGTACCGTTTCTTACCGGATTTTTCCATCGGTAGGGGAACTGAGAGTACCTCCGGTGGGTTGGAGTTTTCCTTTTCGAGGTTGTCCACCGAGTCTTTTACCCTTTGCGCGCGAGGTGCGTACAATGTTTTGTGTTTTTCAGCAAAACCCATCTGCTCCAACTCCCGGAACCCGGAACTCTTCACGGCGTTTCTTCTCTTCAATCCGCATCCTATACAGGCATTCCCGTTCTGCGTTTTTGGCATTCTGCGCACGATCGATTTTTCGACGATCTTCTTGGTTCCTCTGCTCTGGTGATCTGGAAGGGCTTTTGCTCCATCAGACGATTGATCGAAACTAATGCTGCTCATTGAGCTACATCTACGGACTGATCCTTCCAGTTGGGCGTTCAAAATCCGATACTTTTCGGCGAGATACTTCTCCTCCAGCTTCCGGAGCAATTCAGAACGGGATTTCTCATCGTCCAGTTTCTTCTTCGCTAGTGCTTGCTCCTGCTCCTGCTGCCGACGTTCGTTTTCCAGCCGCTTTCGCTCCAGTTCTGCCTCCCTTTTGCGCTGCAGCCTTTCTTGTTCTTGCTGATGACGTTCTTCGTCCAAACGACGGCGTTCGAGTTGCGCCTCCATCTCACGTTGCAGCTTCTCCTGCTCGATGCGGGCTTTCTCCAATTCCGCCTCTTGCTTTCGACGCTCTTCCTCCTCGAGAACCCGCTGCAACTCCAATCGCTTCCGATCCTCCAACTGCTGCAATTCCAAAGCGGCTCTTATTGCACGGGCTGATGCACTGGTGCTTACCGTGATCGACGAACGACGTGAGGAAACGGAATTCTTTTGTCGACCAACCGGTGTACTGGCCGCAAGCAGTTCTTCACTGCAACCTGGACAGGTCCAAGAACGATCCGCTACTGAATCTCCTACATGCACACACTTGTAGTAATACCACATATCGCATAAATCGCATGCGATCATACTTTCGTCGTCCGGATCTTCAAACAGGCCACATCGCACTGCTGGAGCGGAAGCCTTCGTCTTCGGCATCTTGGCCGGATCGTTCGAAAACCACCGAAATTCACTATATTCCGTAAACCTTAAAGAATGTTGCCGCTGCAACTAAGGTTAGAATGAAAAACACTCCTCTTTAGCGTAGATTTCACTCGCTTTAAGCTGCAAATATTTATTATTTTAAGTAGATTTTAAGTAGGAATATCTATATTTAACTTACGTTTAGTGTTTAAGCAAATTTTAATAGTTTTAAGCAAGAAAATATAATAGTTTTATCGAATACAATGCAATTGAGATCCACGTTTCACAAAATATCTTCACCTTTTGATTTCATGTAATCTTCGACGAATGACAGTTGCACTGACGGCTGTAGCGATGACAAGCAGCGGTAGGGCTACCAGATTCCTCGCTCGTCCGTCCGTTACGAGTTCAAGGGGACTGCGGATGGCTCGTAGCAGTACCAACACTAGTGTTCTAAATCTTGCATGCACCGAAAAAAAAAGTTTCAGGTTGGAATTTTGTCGCTGGTTGGATTCAGGTGAGTTTTTTCTAGTGCGGTTTGCCGACCCTGCAAATTGGAGTTGAGCTAGCCGTAAGATGCAGGCGTCAACAATCTGATACTCATCTTCAAAAAAAGGCTATCATGCCCTGACATCCCGGCACACATTTTTTCCTATAATCTTCGAAAACACCCCCTATTTTTTTGATTTTTTTGGGGAAAGTCTGACTCTAAAAGAAATTCCAAACAACTGCCAAAACAGCGTGACAAAAGTTCGAATTCCGTTAATTTTGGCGATCAAGATCAGTGCTGTAAATTATCAAAATCAATTGAACATTATTGATGAAAATGAAAGGGACCTCCTTCGAATCGGTGATATCAGTTTGCCTAGTCAATTGACGAAGACATGGATTCGATTCCGTTCTTAAAATATCCATATTGTAGTTTTTAAAAAACCGGAAGCTGCCATCTTGGATTTCAAAATGGCGTCATTTATCGATTTCAGGTCTGTACTCACTCCGCTCCTCTCCAAAAATATTCATAGTTTAGAGTGTTTCACAGTTTTACCGAAGCCTTATTTCTCCATCTTAGATTACTACTGTAAACGTTTGTTACAATATTTGTATAATTTTTAATTTGTGCATGATTGTTTAATGTACTGTCATGTTTTTATAAGTTATTTGGTGTTGGTTAGTAGGATTATTAAAAGATTATCACGGTGTTGACTCAAAGGCGAAAAAAAAATTCCCTGGCTTTCCAGTCGGTTTTCAGAAAAATTCCAGTCCACAAAACTTCATTATTTTAACATAAGAAGCTGTGATGTGCATTATTATATAGTAGTGCAAATTAAGGTTAAAAGCTTTCGAAAATATCAAGAATATCATACTCATGGCACGTACAACAGAACTTGATACTAATACAATTTTTACAGAACATATGACCGACTACCTACGAAGGATGTGAATAGGCCTAGGGCTATAAATACATATTAAAGGGCGAACACGAAATTATTGCGACACCGAAAATGTCATGCCAATTTTCTTATAATGTTTAGAATCAAACCAAAATTTTAGGGTAGTTTTATACATATATTTACTTCAAAAATCAAAAGAAAAGTTAATCGATGGAGCCTTGAGTGTAAAATTGAACGCATTTTCGCTTGATGCCCTCCATCAAAGTCTTTACAGTGTCATCCGGTACCAGTTTCTCAGTTTTTTTTTTCCATTTTCTTAACATGTCCTTCTCGTCTTTGACTGTCTTCTTGCTCTTCCGAAGTTCCCGCTTCATTATTGCCCAGTACTGCTCCACCGGGCGCAGCTCCGGACAGTTTGGCGGATTCATGTCCTTTTGAACAAAATGGACAGAATTGGCCTCATACCACTCCAGGACACTTTTAGAATAGTGGCATGATGCCAATTCTGACCAAAATAGCGGAGCTTCATCGTGCTGCTGCAAGAACGGCAAAAGGCGCTTCTCGAGGCACTCAGATTTGTAGATCTCGCCATTTACTGTGCCCTTTGTCACGAAAGGCTCACTCCTCAGTCCGCAAGAGCAGATGGCCTGCCAAATGAGATATTTGTAGGCGAACTTCGACATTTTCTTCTTCTTAAATTTGTCGTCCACATCGAACTTGCTCTTGCCGGTGAAAAACTCCAACCCCGGAATTTGCTTAAAATCGGCTTTTATATACGTTTCGTCGTCCATCACACAGCAGCTATATTTTGTCAGCATCTTCTCGTAGAGCTTCCGTGCCCGAGTTTTAACCGTCGATTGTTGCCGCTCATCACGGTTTGGGAAGTTTTGTACCTTGTATGTATGTAGTCCAGCTCTCTTCTTTGCATTCTGCACGTAGCTCTGTGACATGCCGATCTTTTTAGCCAAATCACGGCTTGAGACGTTAGGATTTGCTTTAATCATCCGCTTCACCTTTCCCTCCGTCTTTTTGTTCTCCGGTCCCGGTTTTCTTCCAGCTCCTTTGCCGTGGTCCAACGTCAACCGCTCCTGGAACCGCTTCAACACTCTGGAGACGGTTGAATGGTGAATGTTCAACATTTTTCCCAACTGCCAGTGCGACAGGTCAGGAAATTCCAGGTGTTTGGAAAGAATTTGTTCTCTCAACTCGCGTTGGTTCACCTCCATTTTCGTTGAATCGAAAAACACGACTTCGAGTTTGACAGCATGTACACAATACACATCAATGAGAAAGTGTGCAAAATTTGGTTGATTTTTACCCAATGGTAAAAAAGTTATGCTCTGTTGAATGTGTCGCAATAATTTCGTGTTCGCCCTTTATAACCTTCTTTCCTTTATTTAACGTCGGTCTCTGTTCCACAATCTAGTGCCAATCACCGACGGACATCGATTGCCATCCATTGACGGCAATCGAATGTGCAGGAAGGCAGCTTCCACACCTGCGTAGGATATCGTACCCATTCAACACACATGGGCCGGGACCAACGGCTTTACTTCCCTTCCGAAGGAAGGCGTGACCAGAGATTTTTATGCCTCAGAAAAATCCCACCGACCTCAGCAGTCACGCTTACCACTACACCATTGGTGCCGGCATTACATATTATAATATAATAATGAATAACTACTGCTCACAGCTAGACTCACTATTCATTACTAAGTAATAATTGGAATATTTAATAAATGTCACCAAGCTAGTTTCGAAGGAGCTAGAGTTGCGATCGGGAGTGCTGATAGGTATTAATTCCGGAGTGATTTGAGATTTGGGCGTAATTGTATTTGTAAACAAACACGTCAATCGCCGATTTATAGCGAATAACTCAATTTTGAAAACTAATAATATTATGAGGTAGAGGTACGATTCTTCTATCATTTGGTATAGTTTGTTTTATAAAACTGACCTTTTATTCACGAGAAATTGGCGATTGACCAGTTTGTTTACAAATACAATTACGCCCAAATCTCAAATCACTCCGGAACTATCAAGCAAACTTTTATTGATTATTGAGTTGCCCATTTGATGAATTCTAGGATAGCTCAGATGACAAGGCAAGCGGCTGGTGATCGGAAGGTAAATGGTTCGAATCCCATGCAACGACATGTATAAGTATTCAATAAATTTTCTAATATCTGTGTGGCTCGCGCCATGTCAGAAAAAATGAAAATAATCACTTAAGAAACACACCCTTCCTTGTCCCCCCTCGTCCCTCTTAATTTTCCCACAGTTGAATAATCGTTTAATAAATGTATAATAATGTCTAATTAAAGTATCACATGAGAATCAAGCGTATACAGAGCATGTCTAATAAACGCTGAATAATAATAAAAAAATTATCGTAAAACTCTGTTACAAACCCATATAAGTCGAATAAAAGCTTCTCGACATACCTTATATAGCACCAAGTAGTTCAATGTTGTGGTTGAATAAATTCTCCAGATTTGTGTGAACAAAGCCTGAACAGAAGATATTATTAAAAATATTACAAATACTATTAGGCATGCTGTTGAATAAAATCGTCAAGAAGTCGTTTCTTTAATAGACGATAGTTTGTTAGGAAACCACTGAAAGCGACTTCCTCAGCTCTGTAAAGTTAATTAGATTGAGCCTTATCAAATAAATTAATAATAAGTTGTATGGCAAGTTGATAGAACACAAGTTTACTTGTACTCTGGCTTTAGCTAAATGTAACCAAATTGGGTGAACATTCTGACATATCAAGTATGGTCATTGATTAAAGGGGGCTCATATAAAAAACCAATTAATAATCAGCTCTTTAGTTACCATAAAGAATCATATTTCATACTGGTGACGCACTTTTTAATCCGGCATCTTTAGATTATCGAGAGCCGGATTAAAGAGTGTCGTATTATCGAGATGATACTGCTTTCACGAACCAACTAAGGCACTTATTTTTATAAACTCCATATGTCAGCATTTCAGTGTTCACTCGGCTGTCGACAAAAGCAGGCCACTCTCGATGTGTGCTGCGCGATCGTCTATTTTCTCGGCAGTAACCATTGTGTGGTCCTCCTCATTGTTCTTCATCAGCAGTTCTTTCGGTCGATGCGTCGTCGACTTTGGAAAGCAACCGTTTCGTGATGAGTGTGTGAGTGCTGACCACGTTTTGCGTCCATTGCTGCAATGGACGCGCTCTGACCCTCGTTGGCGTACAACAATTTGCCATACAATGATACCACTGGAAGCGGCTCCAGTTCTGATGGAGAAGGCTTTTTGGATAGCGGAAGATAAAGTGTTTATTGTGTTGTACCTTTTGACTATAGTTTTAAGATGTATTGTATAGTGACCAAGAATCCTCGGCTCTGTAAAGTTAATTCGGTTGAGCCTTATCAAATAAATTAATAAACAAAAAAAAAAAAAAATGTCAGCATTGGATCGTTTCATAACTGGTAATGTAACTGTTACCAGCCATGGCACATCATTCACATTCATTTCGTGCATTCATTTACATTCATTTGCCCCTAACTTTTTCCATCAATAGAATTCCGTTAAATGATGTATGAAACTTTTGTAGGTTTTGATATTAACTACAACTTTTGTCGTTAATTCAAATCTGTACCTCTTATGCATGACGAACTAGAGCGGGCAGAACTTGTTACTATTTTTCAGTGAATGTAATTTACATTCACTGAAAAACATAGGTAAGTTATGTTCGCCCTGGTTCATTATGCATAAGATACACAGATTTGAGTTATTCAAAAGCTAATATTAAAACCTACAAAAGCTTCATACTTCATTTCATAGTATTATGTTAATGAAAAAAGTTAGAGGCAAATGAATGTAAATGAATGCACGAAATGAATGTAAATGATTTGGCATGCCTGACTGGTATATCTCCCCTATATTTATATCGTTCAAAGGATTTCTAGTTGAGCCTATAGTTGAAATTATTTGTAATACAGATGTAGATTACAAACGCCTATCCAAATATTTTAAATTGAATAACCTCCTACGCTATCGGCGCACTAATATTACGAAAATTGAACCGATTACCCAATTCACAACCATCAGGTGATAAATCACATTGGAATGAATTGAACGACCAGTCAAACCCATCATAATTCTTGTTTAAACTCATTCAACGTTCCCAAGCGGCGCTGTGATATTGATTTATCATTCCTGTTTACGTATGAATTAATGTCTAATGTAATGTATTTATCAGTATCAGCACGACATTGGCAGAGCTGGCTTTGATATCAACTTCCCTATCGCAATGGCCTGTTGTTTGTTATCTACACGTAGATTATCATCGTAGATCGCCTTCCTGTTATTTCGTGCGTTTTCCTCCGATCCAGCAGACAGAAATCCAGTATCTAATATCGTGGTGTGTAGTTCAGCTGTCTTATTCTCTTTCAGTGAGCGAACTCTCCCGGCTCGTATGAATGTTGCCAAATATCCACCAAACAGACGGAAGCATGAAACCGATAGAACATTATCAGCGGCAGCGAAAGGTGGTTCAAAATTGACCACAGAACGTAACCGTAAAACTCGTATCTGTGGATTAGCGATTAATACGGATAAAGTTTCGATTTAAAAGACCTTAAGATAATTGAAAACAAGCTTACCTCTCATCGCCAAAGTCACCCGTTTTGACGGAAAACGTGTAGTAGATCCAAAGCGATACATTTGCAATAGTCAGGAATGTGACGAGTTCTTTGCCAGGTTTCCTTTTCCGTAGCTCTGGTGTATTTGAACACCGTCGCAGCGTATCGATGATCCATGGTGTTTGAATCAGGATCTGCAACAGCTGCGTGAAGATGATGAAACCGTTGAGGATCGATTGGTTCACGAAGGCTGGAAGCATACTGAAAAGGCTTTCCGAGAAGAACGCAGGAATTGCTATGAAAAGTAGTACGTCGTCCATGCGGGAAATGGGATGCTGATTGATGTCCAGTTGGCTAGTTTGGAAATATGCAAGTATGACGGCGAACGTCATGATGACTAAGACGACTAATTCGAATATGGAATCCAGTAGGATGCCTGTATCACGATAATCGCTGAAAACAATAATTGCATGAGAATAGGTATGTGAATCGAACAACTAAACTACTCACTCATCTCTGGCGGCAATGTGGAACAAAATGATGACGACGACTGTAGCCACGACCAGAATCAGCCCAGCAAATAATCCTCGGCTTGAAGCATGACAATCACCGTAAACAACCATTCTTCCCTTGACCTCTATATCATGGTCGATAGTATTTTCCTGGACATCCGAGCACACGCTGTCACCATCATTGGTATGCACGCTTTTCTGACTACCGTGGCCTTGTCCGTGTCCGCTGTGTCCTTTGGTGGAGAGTTTCTTCGGACAGCGGTTGATATTCGCATAGATCATGTACAGCAAACCAACGATCAGAATGTTGAACTCAATTACGAACGGATATAGATAAGGCGAAAATGTTGTCAATATGTCGTTCAGCTCTTCTGGTCCAGGACAAAAATACAACACCAGCCCATCGTGCAAACCATCTTCCTCTTGTTGGTTATCATCATAGGATTGCTTGATCCTAATAGCTACATGAGTTTCTCGAACGATCGTATAAACCCAGAAAGCCAGCGCAGTGCCGATGGCATGCATTAATCCAAACCGTGCCAATCCACGGTAGTGATTGATTACAACATTAGCATATTTCCAAAAAAAGAAAACCAAAAACAAGCAGTAGGACAGAAACAGAACTTCCATTGCAATGGTGACGTTTGATGCACATGCAGCCCACTTTCCATCTGTGCTATTCATCAAAATTCCTTGATAGGAAAGAAGCAAAACCGAATGAATCAATAATCCAAAGCAGAACCAAGTAGCTCCCAGCTTCAGATAAATAAACTCCCCATGCCGCCCGCTCACAAAGCAATAGCTATGCGGAACAGGTTCTAGCCTTGGAAGCTCCCATTCGTGAGCTGTGTTCTTCTGTGGGGCATTAGGATTCAGAGCCAGTGGCCCAAAATTGAACTGCGCAGCAGTCCTGGCCATCATTTCATCATAGTTCTGCTGTCTTCGTTCCAACTCTTCAATTGCCTTGTGAGTCTTGTGTACGTGAAGTCGAATATCTATGTACAAAAACACAAAGTACACAATCCCAACCGATACCATGTACAGTCCGAAAACCTCCGCCAACGGGTAGCGTTTATTATTCTCCACTGCATCGGTCACGAAGGCAATCAGACCAAACACTATCAGGAACAACATATAGCTCAACGCCGTCACAACGGCCAAGTACCGAAGAGTAAACTTCTTCTTTTCCTCCGCCGACGACGGGGGAGGGATCAGGTGTTCGCTGGCCGCCGCCGTTCCATGTGATCGATGTGAGTGACCTCCGATCGAAGGTTGATATGAAATCGCTCGTTGCATCACTGGAGGCTTGCTGGTGGATATGACCGAGATGGGTCGTTTTCGAAACGATGTCATCGGTGTGTGAGTAGAATCGAAGGTGTCGCCAACAGCCATATCGCGTTCCGGTGGAGCTGTCGCTGGAATAGCAGGAACGAACTGTTCGGAAAGATGACAGATAACGGAAATTTAGTCTAAGCTGGCTGAATTAATCTCGGTAGTCTTTAGTAAGTAAGTTCGGTGACGTCTTTTTGCGACGTATGTCTCTTTCCGTGGGGATTTGGGTTTATCTTCAGATAATTCGGAATCCAGAAACAGACAGTATGTGTTGAAATTTTGATTGATTGTAACATTTGTATCAATTCGTACCTATCCAGAGGCGTTTGCTGATATGATGAATATTCGATTTGCAGAAATTGTAGCAGCTGGGAAATCATTGAAGCAGCAAATCTCAGATATAGAATGCATATCAAATCGTTAGAGAACCGGTTCTTCAGCCACATCCCGCGTACCATGAAGTTTTGGAAGCCAGAAAAAGAACGTCGATAAAGCATTTAGGGTATCAGAAAGTTGCAATAAATTTCAGGCGAATATCAACGAGGTACCCGAAGGTTTGCTAAGAGCTTGAAAGAAATACTAAAAATTCCATCTGATTGAACTGCTGGAAAAATTTAAAACTTCCATCCCGGGATTTCCTGGGATAAAAAATCCCGGGATTTTAACCAATACTGCGATTTCCAAATCCCGAGAATTAAATTTATAAATCTCCGATATCTGGAAGTAGAAATTGATCCCGTGATTTTTATCATAAGTATTCTTCAAGGATTTCAATATATTCTTCTTGTTTGGCTTTTATTCTGATTTATTTAAGGTATTGCTCATAGACAGCACATTTTGATTATTCTCATTGTAACAAGAAGCACTCATGAAAAATACGGTCTAAAGCTTGCTTCAGATAGAATTGGAACAAAAACAATAGCCTGTATTTCAGTTATTTATTATTGAATTCAAGATCTTTTTTCATACAAATGTAGCGTTTTCTTCATACTTTTAAGAAAAATTACGGATAAAATTATTCGTCACGGTTTCGAAGGAATTCTCGAATTTTTCCTGTAACACGGCTCATTAGGCGGCGCACACTTTCTTCGTCCATCGTTTGCCTTGAGTCTCCTCTTCATGATTGCCCAGTATTTCTCAATAGGGCGGAACTGGGGGCAGTTGGGTGGGTTAAGATTTTTCGGAACAAACTGGACCCCTTTCTCTGCATACCATTCTTGAACGACTTTGCTGTAATGACAGCTTGCCAAATCTGGCCAAAACATTACGGGATGGTCGTGAGATCGAATGAACGGCAAAATTCGTTTTTGGAGACACTCTTTTTGGTATAGTTCCGACGTCATTGTCTTAGGATTGTCTTATTTGTAACGAAAACTTTCGTTTTTTTTGCCACAGCTGCAAATGCCCTGCCAAATCATAAATTTTCGTGCAAATTTGTCGGCAAAAATCAATTTAAATTTGGCTGGAACATCCCCCCGAGCCGTTGCCAAGTAAAATTTTTGACCTGGGATTTGCCCGAAGTCAGCCTTGACATAGGTTTCATCGTCCATCAGAAGACACCCGTCGAACTTGGTCAGCACCTGGTCGTATAGCTTCCGCGCACGGATTTTGGCCACACTATTCTGTTTTATGGTCCGATTTGGCTGTTTGCTAGCTCGATACGACTTGATTCCTTCCCGGAGTCGAGTTCTCCTCACGCTACTAAGGGCAGCACCGAAATTTCTGGCCAAATCACGGTCCGACAGATTGGGATTCCTCTTAATCGTCTTCAAAATCTTACTACGCAGTTTCCGGTCGACAGTTCCACTCCGACGATTGGCTTGAGGCTTCCGAATCGTCGTCAATGTTTCCTTATACCGTTTAATAACGCGTTATACGGTATTTCTGGGCAATTTCAGCTGTTTAGCTAGCCTAGATGCAGACCACAATGGATTTTCCAAATAACTGTGCACAATTTTTTCCCTTCTTTCGGCTTCCATGTTGATTGTTTACAAAGTACAGTCGATTTGCGGAATGTCAAAAATACATACGTGAAGCTGACAAAATTCCCGACACGTGGGCGCCAAGAACTTTCAAATCCGTCCACCAGGAGCACCACAATATGAGCAAAAGTTTGTTCCAATTCTAAATGAAGCAAGCTTTAGCAGTGAAGCAAACCGTGAACATTTCGATCAAATTTTACAATCGGATTTTTAATGTTGGTACATAGACGAAAATCATTCGAAATCGGTACCCAGCCCAAATGCAGCTTAATCTTTTGGGCAGAAACATTACTCAATCATTGTTTTTTCTAGTACCTTGGGGTCTTCAAAGTGAACTTGGAATACCCATATTACGTATTTGAAGCAAAAATGTCAACAGAAGATCAACTTTCTGCGTTCGATTTGCGGCACATGGTGGGGTGCTCATCCGGGAGACCTCATAACGCTTTATAAAATAACTAAAGTCTGTTTCAGTTAGTATTTGGCCGCTATTTTTAATTACTGTAGCGCCTGAGATGAACTAGCCTACGGCTAAAAATCTCCTAAATAAAGAAGAAAAAATGTAGCGCCTCTAGTTGTCGTTGTCGAACGTGATTGACGTGAAAAAATTCTGCACACTCACATTTTGATGGACGATGAAACTTACGTAAAAATGGACTTTGGACAAATCCTGGGCCAAAAATTTTACTTTGCTAATATGATCTGTCCATGAAACAAATGATTCATGGGATTCCAGATCAACTTCGACCTATTATTATCCCGCGTATTTTTACTGAAAAGTACCAACACGTCAATTGCGTGAAAAGATATTTTACAGACGGGTCACGTCTCAATGGATCCACTGGCTTCGGTGTCTTCATTGAAAACTCTAGCGTCATTCGCAAACTTCAGGAACCTTGCTCCGTTTATGTTGCTGAGCTGGCAGCAATTAACTTCGCATTGGGGATGATGTCCAACATGCCCGCAGACCATTACTTCATCTTCTCGGATTGTCTCAGTTCGATTGAGGCTATTCGGTCGAGGAAACCAGGTAGGTTCCTCCAGTCATCTTAATTCCTTTCAAAGGTAAGGGAGCAGATGGGTGTGCTGGTCGAAAGATCCACACTACCGTTCATACTGACGACATCGCTCTGATGAGACAACGAAACCCGACCCCCAAGCTCCTTCCCTTTTCCTATCCTTCGATAATGCACCCTTCTAACCTCGAGTAAGCCGAGAGTATTCGGCCCAACTTCTACTAGACATAGAATTAAGTAATTTTGTTACAAACAAAGAACAATGAATTATCGGCTCCGTAAAGCTAACGCGATTGAGTCTTACAAATAAACGAATTAGATAAAAAAAGGATTTGCATCGTTAGTGGCCAACCTCAACCGGATGAATTTCTTGACAGTTCAGTGGTACTATTTACCTTTTTTTTTTTAACTTTCATTTCAAATTTACCGATTTTTCAATTTACACCTGAACATGTAAAGTAGAGTGATGCAAAATTTTAAATTTTCGCTCCACAATACTTAAACGATTCTAAATCGGATCCTGACTAACCTCTCAAAATTTGAACCCATTTTGTGAAAAGCTGAGATGACACAAACCATTTGAAGTTTGTATGGGAATTACTATGGTAAAACCATGATTTTTGTTCATGTCTGCTTCAAAAACTTTCAACTGTACTTGTAGGAAATTTTTCCAGCTACAACTTTGCTGAAGACCACGCTGATGTCTTATGATCATGCTCAATCAACTGCTCAGCAGGCAACATTGGTGTTTCTGGGGCGTTGAATAGGACACAAAAATCATGGCTACTATGTCACACTGCAAAATACAGTGTTGCTTGATCATGTCATAAGTTTACCAATCTCTTAAATAATTAATAACTTTTTCCTGTCTCATTTTACATAGAAATGTTTTTGAGCTAAGTTGTAGCTGAGAAAATTTTCTATAAGAATTGCTATCGAACTAATTCGCAGCTCAATATGGAAAAAGACTAGAAGGCAATGAACAAAAAGTTGAGATTTCCCATAGTAATTTACATGTAAACTTCAAATGGCTTGTGCGAAGTCTGTTTCTAACCAAATGATTTGTATCTTTGAGAGACTAATCAGGACCAGATTTGAAACCATTTAAGCACTGTGGAGTGAAAAAGTCAAATTTTGCATCAGTCTATTGTAAAGTCTGGAACGCGCAAAATTGGATAACTTCAAATTGGTGTATTTCTGTTAAAAATGCATTAAATAAAACCTGAAATGCTGCATTTGGAAGTTGAGTGTATATACAATGGTTGCTATGGTGAGTTTTCACCGTTTGCTCTCCAGTTTTCAAAATGACGTCCAGGCAAGAGGAGCAGCGTGTCAAAATTTTGCTTGCACAGCAAGAGAATCCGACGTTCTCACAAGCCAAGTTGGCAAAATTGCTGGATGTGGCCAAATCGGTGCAGCTGGAGCAGGTGTACGATGGCTGTTTGCAACGGGACGTCAAAATCGTTGTCGGCGACATGAACGCTCAGGTAGGACGGGAGGCAATGTTTAGACCTGCAATCGGGCCAAACAGCCTGCATGCCGTATCGAACGACAACGGCCAACGATGCGTGAACTTTGCAGCCTCTCGGGGTATGGTAGTTCTAAGTACCTTTTTCCCCGCAAGGATATTCTCAAAGCCACCTGGAGATCACCTGACCAACACACAGAAAACCAAATCGATCACGTTCTAATCGACGAGAAATTCTTCTCCGACATTATCAACGTCCGCACGTACCGCAGTGCGAACATAGATTCGGACCACTACCTAGTTGCAGTATGCATGCGCTCAAAACTTTCAACGGTGCATAACACACGTCAAAGTCGAACGCCGCGACCCAATATTGAGCAACTACGGGACGCCGGAGTTGTCCAGGACTACGCGCAGCAGCTGGAAGTTGCACTACCCACGGAAGGGCAGCGTCTCTTGAAGATGGCTGGAGGGACATCCGTTCAGCCATAGGTAGTACTGCTGCAGCGGCACTAGGTACTGCAATCCCGGACCGAAAAAATGACTGGCTTGACGGCGAATGCAAACTGTTAGTAGAGGAGAAGAATGCAGCACGGGCGAGAATGCTGCAACACCGCACGAGATTGAATGTGGAGCGATACAGACAAGCGCGGAACAGACAAAACTCGGTTTTCCGAAGGAAGCAGCGTCAGCAGGAAGACCGAGATCGCGAGACGATGGAAAATCTGTACCGCGTAAACGACACACCGAAGTTCTAGGAGAAGCTAAATAGTTCGCGCAAAGGCTACGTGCCGCAAGCCGATATGTGCAAGGACTTGGACGGTAACCTTCTCACGAACGAGTGTGAGGTGATTGAGAGGTGGAAGCAGTACTATGACGAGCACCTCAACGGTGAAGCAGCAGAAAACGAAGGTGGCACGGCAACAGACCTTGGAGCACGCGCAGAAGACGACAGGCTACCGGCCCCTGATCTTCAAGAATTTGAGGAGGAGATCGGTCGGAGCAACTGGTGTAGATCAACTACCAAGTGAGCTATTAAAATACGGTGGTGAAGCATTGGCTAGAGTGCTGCACTGGGTAATTTCCAAGATTTGGGAGGAGGAGATATTACCGGAGGAGTGGATGGAAGGTGTCGTATGCCCAATCTACAAAAAGGGCGACAAGTTGGATTGCTGCAACTACCGCGCGATCACACTACTGAGCGCCGCCTACAAGGTACTCTCCCAAAATCTATGCCGCCGTCTGTCTCCATTTTCAAGAGAGTTCGTGGGGCAATACCAGGCGGGATTCAGGAGTGCCCACGCTACCACGGACCAAAGTTTCGCGATTCGGCAGGCTCTGCAGAAATGCCGCGAATACAACTCGCGCACACATCATTTGTTCATCGATTTCGAATCCGCATACGACACAATCGATCGAGATCAGCTATGGCAGATTATGCACGAGTACGGATTTCCGGACAAACTGACGCGATTGGTCAAGGCGATGATGGAACGAGTGATGTGCGTTGTTCGAGTATCGGGGACACTCTCGAGTCCCTTTGAATCTCGAAAGGAGTTACGGCAAGGTGATGGATTTTCGTCTCTGCTCTTCAACATCGCGTTAGAAGGTGTGATCAGAAGAGCTGGGATAGACACGAGTGGCACGATCTTCAGGAAGTCCATCCAGCTAATTGGCTTCGCCGATGACATTGACATTATGGCACGGAACTTTGAGATGATGGCGGAAACGTACATCAGACTGAAGGCTGAAGCTAGGCGGATTGGACTTGTCATCAACGCATCGAAGACAAAATACATGAAAGGAAGAGGTTCTAGGGAAGACAATGTTAGCCTCCCACCCCGAGTTCAGATTGACGGTGACGAAATCGAGGTGGTCGATGAGTTCGTGTATTTGAGCTCACTGGTGACCGAAGAAAATGATACCAGCAGAGAAATTCAAAGACGCATTATGGCAGGGAATCGTGCCTACTTTGGACTCCGGAGGACGCTCCGGTCGAATAAAATTCGCCGCCGCACGAAGTTGACTGTCTACAAGACGCTGTTTAGACCGGAGGTCCTCTACGGCCACGAGACCTGGACTATGCTCGTGGAGGACCAACGCGCCCTTGGTGTTTTCGAACGGAAGGTGTTGCGTACCATCTACGGTGGAGTGCAGATGGATGACGGAACGTGGAGGAGGCGAATGAACCACGAATTACACCAGCTGCTGGGAGAACCATCCATCGTCCACATTGCAAAAATTGGGCGACTACGGTGGGCTGGGCACGTCGTAAGAATGCCGCACGACGACCCAGTGAAAATGGTTCTAGAAAGCGACCCAACAGGAACAAGAAGAAGAGGCGCGCAGCGGGCAAGGTGGATCGACCAAGTAGAAGGTGACTTGCGGACCCTTCGCAGACTACGAGGCTGGCGAAGTGTGGCCATGGATCGAGTAGAGTGGAGACGACTTCTTCGGACAGCAGAGGACAACAAGGTATGTTGCGTTTCACTGTTTTCATTTTGTTTCTATTTATATACTTTGTTTTTATTTTGTATAGTTTGCACTCGGCTCTGTCTCAACTGTCAAATGAAGAGCAAATCTCGCACTAAGAGAAGAGGTGACAATACGGGGCGAAAATATGAACCAGCTCCTGATTGGCCGATTTCATGTGCGTAAGATAGAGATAGAAATAGATAAAGATAGAGATAGAGATAGAAATAAAAGAGGAAGAAGCCAATTGTTAACTCTTCTTCTTAGATCTCGCAGATCAATACAATTCCCATGCAGCAGTAGAATAATGCCTTGTTCAGACTACAGAGTTGTAACATGTTATAACGCTCTCTTGATGGTGGTTTCTGTGTTGCAATTAGTTGACAACCGTTATAACATGTTACAACTTGTATGCAAGTTGCTGCTAAAGCCATTAAGTGTTGCATCACAACTGTCATAGCGAATCAAAACAAACATAGTGTAGCACTAAAATTTCGACTAGAATGGGGTACGTTGATGATGATGATGATGATGATGATGGACGTTAATCGATTTGCTTAGGACCAATAGGCTAGTCAAGTAGTGAGCAAATTTAAAATTGTTAGTTTCTACCGGTTGCATTTACTTCGTCCTATTTCATCCAGATTATCGAGTATCCGTTGCCGTCACCCTGTTTGGAGTAAATCCATCGAACCGCCAAAAAATCATAACGTAGGGTCCTGATCAACCACTGGACGAAACATAAAGTTTTGTTATTTATGTATCGAAAACATAAATCATAAATCAACAGACTTTTTGGAAAATAAATGAGTTTTATATGCGTTTTTACATTCGACATAGGTAGATCTTTTTATGCCGTGCACTGTTAGCCTATTGGTTTCTTGGTTGCTGTCTAATTTATTTTAAGTTTTTGGAAAGGATAACAAATGTACCTAAATGCCTCCACGTACAAAAAATCAGGCATCCAACGGTACGGTTAACAAAACTCATCCAAGCTATTTCGCAAAACAAAAATAACTGGTCAATTAATCATATCATAATTTGCACAGAGATGGTTCTGTTCCGCTAGTAGGAAGTGATAAAAATGCCCATATGGAATTTGAGATAAGTGCGAATAATTCGCTTTCGGTGCATATTCAGGTCAAAAAAGTGAACGACAACCTAAATAAATTATTCAGGGACTTTGTCGTTTAGTTTTTTTCCCGGAAATTATTGTTAAACAAGTTACAATTAATAAAAATGATTTTTCCCCATACAGTTTTACCTGCTTTACTACCAGAGAGCCAAAAAAAATACAAATTTGAGAGAGAAAATTCTTTCTCACGAGCTCAATCTCTCAACATGCCATGTATTTTGATGATACTCGATTTGTGATTTCTCTTTCACAGATAACAAAAAAGAGTCACTACAAAACATGCCTGTCACCTCTATAGGTATATGCATTTAGTTTATCATTTGAAGTCTCTACTTTTTTACTTATTCTGCACAAAAGATACTTTCTGCCCTGCCCCATACATAAAAATCGGCGGGAAATTCTGTGGGGGGGGGGGGTGAGCTATTTTGCGTACAGAATGTGTAAAAAAGGAGGGACTTCGAATATTAATCTAAATGCATATATAGAGGTACCAGCCATGTTTTGCACTGCACTGTCCTCTGTGAGCAATTAACGAAAACAGATTATGAGTAGTTTTCGATAGATGTCACCGCAAAAAACAGCAGTGACATCTGATGCAACATGAAGGCAGAAGCTTGACAAAATGATTAATTGAATAATGAATATGGCCGGTCACGAAAGATTTGTGAGTACAAAACTCAGTTTTCTTACTTTTCAACAACCAAATCGATTTTCTCTTTGCATTGCCACAGCTAAGCGAGACAATTTTCTAGAATTTGTTCAATGCAGAGTTGTAACAGGTTGTATTGGTTATCAAAAGCAACAGCAAATGCACCGAGAAACGTTAATTCTAGCGAGTTATTAACAAAAGAGAAAATCGACGAAGAGAATCGATCATCGCGTTTACGCCCTTATGCATGCTCACTGTCGAAATGTTTTCACTGTGAGGTCGAGATCACCGAGTTGCGAGGAAGTGATGCATAACCAATGAAGACAACATTCAAAATCCACAGGCTTCCTAATATGGTTTCTTGTACTCTGCTAATCCGAAGTTTCAAAAAATATGCATACCATTTCATCAAACACCCAAAACAAAAAGTTATACTTGAAAGGTTCCACCGAAGAATACCTTGTGCCTATATTTACGATTGCAGGCATATCCAAATCTCCACCGACTCTAGACATTCCCAACATGACCATAACTTCATAATCGCTCATCCAAATGAGCAAAAGACACACCAGCAAAAGGAGCTCCTTTGAAAGCAGTCCCCCACTGGAAGTAATGTTCCCTCTTGTTTCAGTTGCATTTCCGCTATGATTTTGCGGGGAAAATGACAACCTTTGCCCATCGTGTATCGGCGCTACATGGTAAATGCAAAGTAACTATTCGAGCGTTAAAATCCGGCTCATCGCACCGGAACTTCAATCACTAATTTGGCCCCATCGCCCATTTGATGAAGCACACAGAGGAGGAAACCCGAACAGGTGTTCGATGTCTCTTGGACTCTTGCTTCATTTAGGTATGGCAAATCAGTGACAAATAATAATGAAAAAAAAAAAGCTTTCCGATCAGAGCAAACATATTTCCAGTGGGAATTTCCACTATCACTGGTCATAAATTATGCAAAACTAATCCACCCTTTCACCTACCGTGGGCTTCTCATCCTCGATGTCTAACGTTGGATACAGAGTGATGCGTTTGGATGCCGTTGTGGCTACTAGATCATCTGCAGGCTCTATGACTACTGTTGGAATGACCGGTGAACTCGCCGCCGGCCCAGCAGGCTCCTGATCGCCTTCGATAGGCATCTTTCGACACTTTACACCGGATTACGCAGCTTAATGATTAACGTCACGGAAACAATCAAACCACTATAAACGAAAAGATAAAAAGCAACGCGTCCGCGACGATATCCGAACGAAGACTGAGGAACTGGAAGTGCAAAATCCGACGATACGACAGGTATCCAGTAGCACAGAGAGGCGCCTAATGAAACGGAGAAAATTTATTGTCTTTCCATAGAATTACAACGAAATCAATGATAAGTGGCAGCAGGCTCGAGACGGATATCCAACGATTGATAAGCTTTCGGCGTTTTGATTTCGGATGACAGATATCGTCGTTGTTGTCGTTCCATCGAGCGACCTGTGTAAAGGTGCTTTGACGAAGTAATGTGGTTGGTGGTCTGCTGTCTGCTGTCTGTATGCCGTCGAGGAGGGTGTTTACGAATATCTGATGAGTCAATTTGGCACGATCCAACAGGAAGCAGAGGATAATCAACACGTGACACACGGACAATGTCACGCGAATGCATTGGCATTAGAGTCAATTGATTTTGAATTCCGAGGAATTACGCGTTATCCGTTGAGATGAGAATTTCAAGTTATAATGCTGCACGTGAAGATTTTTCCGCCGGAGGCGGCAGGATTGATTCCCGGTTTGGTGGTCTAGAAGATCTTTAGGGTTGAACATGTTCTCGACTTTCCTGGGCATGCACAGCAAAAACATAATTTTAATATTAAATCCAAGAGGATGCACTTCAATCATGTCGAAAATCTCATGCAACTTTTATGGCCACAACAACAACAATGCAATAAAAGCAGCGTAATCTCAGTTCATGCACTGTATTAATGATAATTTAGTCCTTTTTGCCAAATAATATTACACCATATTTTCGACACGATTGAAGTGCATCCACTTTGATGTGATATTAAAATTATTTTATTGCTGGGTAGAGTATCATTGTGCTTATCACATAAGGGGGCATCCATTAAGTATGTCATGGTTTAAGATTAGATAGGCGCTTCAGAATTTGTGAAAGCAATGTATTAAGTAAAGAAAAAAAAACCTGAGGAAAGGGAGGTGGGGAAAATGATTTTTTTTTCAATTTAGCGTGAAGTACTAAATGAATCGCCCTCATAATACAAATTCATGCATTAGGTGGCATATAAATCTCTCAATTAATAATCGTATAACTGCTTCAAAGAACACTAAGTTGAGAGAAAGAATAAACACTGGTAAAAGCGCTAAGCCACGAAGAAGAAGAGGTTATCTTGTTGATATCAAATTTTTTTCAAATGCCGTGAAGGTGATTATTCCGTTGTATCGACTTTTAAAACGGGGTAGCCAAATGCGTGAAGTCGACTGTACGCCAAATATAAAGAGCTTAATTTTGTATAATTGAGGCGGTTATAAGGAAAGGGGTGCAAGTAACTGTAATCGATTCTCTTCATCGACTTTTGATAGCCACAGCTTAATAAACAGATTTTGCGCAATCTTTTGATCCCCCTTCTGATGAAATTCAATTGAGCAATCAATTTGATATGCTTGCGGATGATGAGAATGATCCAGCATCCAGGCAAAATTCCATTAAACATTCCCAGCTTAATTCCCCTTATTGTTGTATCCACTTCCGATTGCCATGCTCTTTGCACGGAACTTTTGAACTTCGTGAAATTTAAGCCGGGTATTGAATGAAACCTTGAACGGATTCAAACGTCTTCTCAAGTATCTTACTGAGAAGCAGCATATTTTTTTTACTTACGACACCAAAACTGAACGTGTGATCAAGGTTGTCATGAAAGGACTGCCCAGTGGTGAACCCCTGGATCAGATCAAAGATGAACTGGCAAAAATACTTAGAGTTGTGCCACTCCAAGTAATCAAAATGAAAATGAAATCCCGCCCTGGCGATTCGCGCAACGGGATTTCTAATGATTTTTATTTAGTTCACTTCAAGTCTAGTGAACTAAACAACTTTAAGGCCTTGAAAAAAGCTAGCCTTATGCTCCATGTCCGAGTGAAGCAGGAATACTTCGTACGTAGCGGAGTACTGCGTACGTAGCGAAAAATGTTTGCTTTATAAAAATTTCAATGGACTTGGGCGCTTAAAATTACGTGTTAATAGCTTGGTTAGTAATGATATTAGGAGTAAATTATATTTTTGTGTGAATCTAGTAGACACCAAACTTTGCCAGCTGTGATTTTTTTTTGACAAGGTTGGATCAATGATAAGTGATTGCTGCTTGGCTATGGCCCTCGCTGTGGCCAGTTCTATTTTATGTTAACTATATACGTCAGATGCAACACCGCAAAACAACTAGGATGTTACTCTATACTTCAGGTAAATTGGTTTAACTTTCCATAAATAATGCATGTTACGTGTTCACTTCAGCTAAGAATCGATGAAATAATTGCCAGCAATCAATATTGACGAAACATATAAACTGCAGATGTATCTGGTATGGTCTGAATATTTTTTCGGAGAAAGTCAGTTTTTAAATAAATATATGTATGTAGGTACTTGAGAAAAGCGTAATTGTTTAACGTCATTTTAGGATTCATCCCTACACAAGTAGTACACGGAATTTCCAAAGACCTGTCTCAAGCACGCAACAATCAGTAAATAACCATCAAGGTCCACCCCCATGCATCATTCGTGAAGGCTGGGATGTAGGTCCAAAATTGAGAGCAAACCTGTCGAGTCAAACCATTCCATGGCTAGATTACCGAATCAAAATACATGTTTAATGAATCAACATAGAAAAACACATCGATACTATTTTTGTTAAGCATGCCTGCAGTGAAACTGTTAAACTAACAAGATTTTTCTATTTCAGAATTTCATTAGGAAATTGGGTACCTTCATCAATGGTAAAACTAGACATCAGCTATTTATATTTAATTATTATCAATTTAGGCAAAACTTCTACATGATACAAATATTCTGTAGTTCAATTAGCAAAAACAAAAGTTCTCTCAACTGGCATTGTCCTTCTCTACTCATTACTCAAATTTTCTACTGGATTTTAGGTTAAAAGTGATAATTTATTCTCTAATTGTAACCAAACTACCATTCCTTCCTTAAATAGGTTATGTAAGCAAACGAAGACTTCAGAAAAAGGACCGAAGTGACGTTTATAAAGCGGGTGTGTAGTCATAAGCTTCTTCTTAAGTTTGCAGAACTTCTTCCACACATGTTGATATGTCTCAACGGTCTCAACCATCAATTTCATGATCTTCTTAATGTTTATGAATTTTGTGCATACTGTGTCCTCCACATTGTTTTCCCAATAGATTTATGAATATGTGATTGTCGCATTGTTACAGATTGAAACATGTATTATTGTATAATGCTGTTTCCTTACACATCATGGATTTTAGAAAGAGAATAAACGATAATAAATAACTAGGACCCATGCATTAATTATGTCACGCTAAATCGAGCAAAAAATTACCCCCTCCCCCCTATCGTCACGTTTTTCCTATACCTAATGCACCCTCCTTAGAGCGTGACATAATATATGCATCAACCCCTACATGTTTTGTTTTTCTTTTCACAGCTTCTGGGCCTGTCGAATCAGGAGCCATGTTGTACAAGTTAATATTTGTTAACCGTTACACGGGTGTACCTACCTTTCATTACAGACATACAGAGTTCAACATAAACCCGTCTAATTGTGCATTCATTATCGTATGTTAAACAAGACAAGAGTCACGGATACAACGTATATTCATAATGAGTCAGGTAACATAATAGAACAAAACATGTTTCGTAAAGTCTAAAATTGTATTTATTTTTAAAATGTTTTTTTATGAAGTAATAAAATTGGGTTGTTAGCGGAATGCTTTAAATGAAACTGCAAAAAAGGTTATCTTTCATTTAATTCCACCTAATTAATTTTGGTATCCATTACAGATACGTATTTCAACTACAATGTTCAGCCGTTATCAGTGTGTAGCATATTATCTTACAACCTTTTCCAATAGCTAAAGTTTAACATGCAACCATCTCAAATTCCAAGACCCTCCAAGTTGATAGCATAGTAAACAGACTTGTAAACCCATAACAATAAATAGCAAGTGCCTTTGCCCTTGCTGTCCCAGAAAAACTGCCACACTCGAAATTATTATTACCACATGTTTCTTTTCCGGTGGTCTAGAATCCATGTCCCAAACACAGCACGATCGTTGCAATAACATAACCCAGATTTCTGGCATACTTCTTTTGGTAACCTTCGTCGCCAACACATACGGTAACGTACGCGATTGGTCGACTATGTTTTGGAACATCTTTTTCATACTGAGTTAAGCACCTTCCCCTAGAATAAGTTGTGTAGAGTTTAGCTCCATAATAGTCTCCTTAATGAATATAGATTATTCTATTTCACCACGCGAACCTGTACGGATGCCTCTCCGTAAAAGTTATCACAGCCGAACGTTACAAGTGTTATTCCCGCTAAAAAACTTATCACAAACCTAACCCCCCTAAGTACTCATCCTCTAGATAAAATGTCAAGATCACAGGTAGAAAAAAAGAATCAACAATGCACAGTGGTCCAGAATGCAGATTTAGCTGGAATGATATGTTTTGAGCCTGAAATTGAAACTTTAGACTAAAAGTCTCTTCTACAAAGTTGTTCCTTATAGTTAGGCCCTCATTTTTATGACAATGAATTCTAGGGTGGTTCCTATTATCATTAAAATCAAAAATCTAACTTTTTTGTTTGAATAAATTAAGGTATACATTCTTCGGCAAAGTTATAGCTGAGCTAATTTCAAGCAACTTTGTTGAAAATAACTTTTTTGTATCTCTTAAATTGGCAGATATAGAGCTATTTTCTTGAATTAAGTTAGGGTGACTCTTAAAAAACAGTTTTTTTGCTCTATTTTTCTTATTTCGAATTTCTCAGCAAATGTGTCTTCAAATAACTTTTAGATATTAAAAAGGCGCAAATTTTTGCTGCACAAAGCTTGTCAATATCTTTCGTCGATCAAGAGTTATTGACGTTTTTATACTAAAAATATGCACTTTTCAAATGTTAATATCTCTGGTTGGGGCAAACAAAAAAAAAGTTTATTGGCAG